AATGTTATTGTAGATTCCAATGGTGGTTGTTTGTTGCTGTTAGTTGAAAATTGGTTATGTAATCAGCCGTTATTTTATCGTTTCTAACTATTAGAAGTGGCCGCTTTATTTACGCTACCAATCCGTAGATTACTTCACTGAGAAATATAGCGGCTAAACTATGTCATACTAACCTCAAAGTAAGACTTTTTCGTCGCTTTCGTGATCACTTACGCACAGAAAGGATTTCGTCACTCGATTTTACTAGTGTAGCAACAGCTGCGTGCGACAAAAAAATTTCACACACGAAAATCCACAAAAGGAAATCGGGAACAAATCAGAGTTCTATTTCTATACGGTTACCTTTGCGGGCCTGTCCTTATTTGGAATGGATCATAACTGCACAGGGCAGTACTACAGTTAATCTCGAGTTTCCCTTTTAAAGATCTAACGGCTCGGGACAATTAGAGGGACGTAAGAAGTGGTCAAGGGATCGTAGCTGAGTTCTATGTAGGTCTCGGGAGCTTCTTCTCGTATTTTAAATTCAATGAGTAAAAGCATAGTAAAGGGTATATAGAGAGTAATTTTTATAATTTTTCATTCGAAATCTTACTATTGTACAATGAAGATGCGCTGTTGAGGAAGCATAAAAGTGGGCTCATATATCACGAAAAGACCTACAAAATAATTGAATCAAACAATTCAGTAGTACTAGGTAGTCATATAAACTGTCTTACTGCTTTTCACATGTAGAAAACATTTTGACTTGTAATTGAAGCATCGAACCATTTTTTTTTAATTTCGTTTCACAAAGCAAATTTACAAAATAAATTTATTTGCATGATTACCATTAAACAGACCCTTAGGCTTTTTTATAATGACACTTAACACCAAAAGCTTAAAGCAGTAATGCGAGTAATCAGTTAATTTAAAGTTAAATTAATTAAAACTGTAAACTCTCGTCAAATTGTAATGCCTTAAAAGTCATAATGATGACAAGAACAATTTTGCAAATTATGAAGTAAATGTGGTTTATAATTATTGCAATTTTCATGCTTGTTGCAATTGCATTCAAGAATTTAAGTCACAAGGAAAAGGGTGTACTTTAATTAGAAAATTATCATTCTTAAATATTTATTCTTATATTCATTAAATCTATAAACCCGTTTTCTTGTAAGTAAAAAAATAAAAATAAATCAGTGGCACTACTCCTTTTTAGGTCTGGGCCTTAGATTTCTGTATCTCTTTCATGATCATTTGTCAATTAGGCAAGTGATCAGCCTCTTGTGCCTGACACACGCCATCGACTTTTTGGGTCTAAGGCAAGTCGGTTTTCTCACGATTTTTTCCTTTACCGTTCGAATGAATGTTAAATGCGCACATAGAAAGAAAGTTCATTAGTGCACAGCCGGAGATTGAACCTACGACCTCAGGGATGAAAGTCGCACGCTGAAGTCACTAGGCCAACACTGCACCTTTGTGTATGTACACAAATTCTGATATTATATAAGGTTTTCAGCAGTGAAAACGTTTATCATAATGGTGTATTTTTATTTCAAAATTAAAATAGCCGTTCCCACTACACAAAATAACTACAAATTTGTGGTAACGCTTTTTCATTCGCTCCATACTGCTATATTGTGCGTACCATAGTAATACAATTTTATTATCACCTTCAAAACTGTTCATTCACCCGTAATTGACTCTGATCGGGTAGGACTAGAGTCTAGAGTCAGTATCGAGTTTTTCTACGACGGCAATGTATTGAGATCATTTTCCCATATATGCGTACAACTGTACGTACTGCGACTTTTTCTCCCTTTATCTCCCTAAGGCTAAACAGTGCGTTCCTAAAATTAACTGTGCTTGAGTACAGCTAGCTTCGTATCTAATGAGGTTACAACAGGTGGCAGAAAATGGAACAATTTATGTAATCCGAGATCTTCGTTGTAAAATATGTTCACTTAAATGACAATTCCAAAAACAAATGAAGCTATAACTGAATATAAAACTGTACCAAGAATGTTATTTATATTTTTTTATTTTATTTTTATTTATAAGTTCGCCACATCATACATAATGCTATATCTACATTATAAGTTACAAGCTATCTTATCTCAAATATATGACAATTATGGTAAGCATAAATGCTAGAAAATTGCTAAATTAATAATATAAAATATAATAAAAATCCTAGTAATTTTTTGCAATTTTCAAATATCATAGGCATTTAATAAAGCTTTTTTTTAAATTCATCAGTCCACTACCGAATATATCCAGTTCCAGATAAGTAGTGAGAGGTGCTTATTTTTATACAACTAATCAATACCGAGTTAATTGCATTAATAGTTGTACTTAATTATAAAAGGTAAAAGGATTGGAATAAAGCTTTCTTCATTTTCGTACGTAGGCGAGCCACAGACAAAAAATAGCTTTTCATAAAGTATAAATCTACGCACAGCCAATGCAAAGAATATTTTTGACATATGCTTATAAAATTTAGCGGTGACAATGGTGATAAGTGGCAACTCTTAGGGAAGATTAGACGCGCGTGCGCAACTTAAACGTTGTGAAGTGGAATGTTGTGTAACATTACTGTTAGATCAAACAATAGTAGATAAGAAGAGTAAACAGCGCAAAAATGAGGTTAAGCTAAATGCTGTTTAATCACTACTAAACAGAAACATTTTTTGTCAATAAAAATGCTTGAAAAATGCGATCTGTCACATGAGAGAGTCATGACACATGGCAGTGACATGATGACAGTCTGCAGTATATACCCCGTCATATCTTCATTCTGACACCTACAGCGCTAACAAAAAATATTCATATACATTCACGTACATTCCTTGGTTCGCTTTAAAGATCTTAGGTTGCGATGTTGCACTCCTTTAAAGCATAATATATCTAACACGACATGCTAAGGTTTTCTACTTTTCAGCGAGCTGCATAAGGGAGCCTTCAAGTATTACGTAACGCGAGTCTTTTGAAACGTTACAGTGCGTTACATGGGCGGGAGGGGGTTATTTAAACAGCGCGTTACGTAACATTGGGGTTGTACAGAAAAACGTTATGGTGCGTTACATGGGGGGAAGGCTCTTGAACGCTCCCTAACCGTACCTACATGTAAAATATATTGAATCTCGTATTGCGAAATTACAAACGAATTGTGTTATAAATCACTTTCGCTTTTGCACAAAATCCTTTCCATTTAGCAACAAATCTAGAAAATCGTCCATAAATCACATAGCGGCTCTCTTAAATCAAATTGTACAAATATTACGAAACTTTACAACTTCATTGAACACCCATTATGATTTACAACTGCCACCATTGTGTGGTGACAAATGGGTCAGGTAGGTCAAATAGACATTGTTCGGGAATGTGTTACAACATTATTGTACGTTCTAACAACAAGGCTCTGTTTGCAGATTCTTTTGATGATCTGTGGCAAAATGCTGTTTTCCTTGTAATTTTGATGACTGTGGCTAATTAAATATTGTTTATGAAAAAATATCTAGGAATCATTTCAAATTTGGAACGTATATATTTCGTCAATCTTATGTAGTTAAGTGGTTCAATAAAAATAAAAGCTGTAATTTATGTTAAGAATTTAGCGTAGCATATAAGGAAACGTTGAAAAATTTCGTATCGATTCAGAATGCTTAATTTTAAATTGTTTAATGTACCAGACAGCAATAAACTGGCAACATTAGCCTATTTCTCGACTATTCTCGTAACTGATTTGGGTCAGAGTTGTGTCAATTGGGCTGCTTTGTGCAATCTGCGCTGATTACGTCAAGAACATATTGAATGTTTGAACTGAGAGTATTTTTAATACACGTACTCTCTAAGTGCAACGATTATAATACCGCGTTGCTTGTATGGAAAGCAAAAGTTGAAATAACTGCAGACCGGTACGCAATTACGTCTTTAACATGCATTAAATAATAACTATGACTTTGTTAACTTATTATGCTACAAGATATCATAAATTTTACTTATTTATTGATTTAAACTTAGTTACATTAAAATAAAAACAAATAACAAAAATAATAAAGGATGCAACGGGCGGCCTTAGCGCTGACAAGCGATCTTTTCCAGGCAACCCTAGTAAGAAATACTAAGGGTAAAGTAGGGTGTGCATTACCAAATCAAAAAAAAAATGAACACTGAAAAATTATACAATTACGAAATTTAATCTAAAAAAAATAAACTAAAAGCTAATCTCACAGTTCATGAACTACAATGCAATACAAAAGAATAAGAAAATATATGAATTACAATAGTCACGATTGAGCAGGATCGAAAATGGTTTCATACATACATACCTAGATTATGAAATATTAGCTTCATGGAATTTTAATTTTTAACCTATTCTAACAACACGTATTTCGTCTGTGCCTGTCATTTTATGTTTACGATGTGCTGAAAAAAGACCAATGCGCTCAGTTTTTCGAAACTCACCCGCTATAAGGGGTAGGTCTCTATCAATATTAGATTACTTCAAATTATTATTTCATGATTTCTAAGTTACTTAACCTTTTGAGTTACTTAAACTAGTGTAGCGAATATAGGTGCAAGTGTAGTTTCTCGGACATACTAACATAGTGTCAAAATATTATAGAACACTAAGACTGTTTTTTTTCTGCAAAAACTAACAGAATAAACACTACATATCCACAGCTTGATATATTCGGTAGTGGGATGATCAATTTTAAAAAGCATTGTTTAGTGCCTATTATACCTTATCTGCTATTTTGCTTAACAATAAGTAAAATCTAAAATTCAAAGTATAATACATATTTAGTTACCATAATTGTCATGTACTTTAGAAAAGATTGCTTGTTACATATACAGTAGATATAGCATTATATATGATGATAACAAATAAATAAAGTTGCAATCTCTTTTGTGAACTTTATTGTAAGGAAAAAAAACTACTTAAATCACGGCTCTTAACCCAAAAGTAATGCATCAATGATTATTTTTTAAACGGTTCATCGCTCAGTGAACGACGAATGACGAATATTATCCTTAAGGTTAATAACCGTATATTAGCTCGTTCGTGACTCAGGCTTTACGTGAATCAGTCTAACTTTTATGTTAATGCGAAGAGACATTCGTAAATGTCTTGATGTCTCACGATGGAGATGAAAATTTTATACAAAGTTTTAGAAATCTCAGTTACGAAATATTTATTTTATATTCCATGCCTAAAAAATTATTAGTTTTTTAACTTATTCCATAGACATCTAGTATATATAGACATATATGAACAATTACTATTTTAATTTTTTTATAAAATGTGTTCGAAATACAGAATTTTAGATTCATAAATTTTGATGACGGTGATCTAAAATATTTTACTCGACCGATCGTCACATTTTTTTGATTGGCTTTTATTTATTACCTTTTTGCCAATTATATTTTGAGCGTTTTGTGACAAAGGTATCAGTAGGTTATCAGTCTAAGCTCTCTTATAGTTCCCAAACTAATATAATTTCTGTATATCCTTACGACTGACAATTATTGTGTGCTTTCCTCGTTAAGGACATATCGAAACGAGGTATGTAGTATGAGAGTATGACTTATCATTTTAGTATAAAATTGTGTATCGACGGCTACCGAACCCTTCTGTGTGGTATATATTTTATTTTATTTATTTATTAATGACAACTGTACAAGCATAACCTGTTCACATCGTATTCCTAACTTTTGTACTGATCTGACATTATCGCGATTCATGTGCAGTTTTTCGTTTTCTTGTGTTCTTTTTTACTATTGTCCTCTTCACTGTTTACATTTCTTTGCTTTGTTTCATTAGTTTGTCTTAATAAATAGATATGTGTTATGTATTTTTTCGCTTACCTTATTTTTTTCTCACAGTGGTTGCCTGGAAAAGATCGCTGGAAAGCGATAAGGCCGCCAGATGTCCTCATTTTTATTTAATTATGTTAATTGTACTTTCTGTAAACTTGCAAAGAAGTGTTAATCAATAAAATAAATAAAGGCAATTTATTATATGTACTTATAATGTATGTGTATTTCTGTTCAATAAGGAACTTTAAGATATATTTATTTACAATTGTGTGAAACAGTATCATCGCAAAGTCTGCTATGTTTCAGACCCAGAACAAACTTATTTAAAAGAAAGTATATTCACAATGTTTGAGTCGGGTGAGTGTGGCGTTGCCAATAATGGTCCATTGATGGCCCATCGTAAACTCGTTGTAAACAAACAGATGGACGATTTTATTGCTTGATCGTAAAGCGCCTGATTCAGGCCCTTTGATAACATATAAATATTGGTATGTTGGTTGCAAACATTAAAATTAATTAGTAAATTTTAACAACCGGGCCCTTTTTCCCATTTGACATATCTATTACTATTAGTAAATATTATGTTATTAATTAGTAATTACTAATAGTAATCACTTGCCTGTGACCATGCAGACTTAACAGCTTACCACCGACTCTATTTGACTACTGGAGTTCCAATAAAAACTAAATAGAGAGAGATTAGATAGAGATAGAGTAGAAGAAAAACAAACAAATCTTCGTTAATAAGACTTAATCTTTATAAAGGTACTATGATTTAATCATCACAGCTGGCGTTGTTGTTTCTAACAGCTCGGTCGCACTAGCTTATTATAATGTTTACTGCGCACGCGCATGTTCTATTTTAATTCCTTTCAGTTGCGTAGGACTGCTAGGGCTATCTATGTTATGAAACATTATCTGTCACTCAAGTTTTTTTATATTACCATAGTAAAGTTATCATGTATTTTATATTCACTATATGTATGCATTTTACGGCATCTAAAAATATTGCTAGATAAAAAAAAAATTTAATACAAAAGAAAATACATATACTGAATTATAAATAAGTACATCAACATTGGAAACGCTCAAAATTATTTCATATAAGCTTTCGAGAAAAATGATATGATAAGACGCCTTTCTAGGAAATGAAAAGTATATAACTAGCTGAAAAAAAATATAAGAATGTGACATCCCTAATACAGATTCACCCCATGTTATTACAGGACATATGAACTGCCGAACTTTCAAGTTCATTCGTTTTATTTACGTATTTATAAAATTAGAATTTAACAGGAATTGAGGTGAATGAAACAGCATTTAAGGATGTTATGAACATCAATTTGAGAGTGACATTATGCAGTGTTGGACAATTTTAATATAAAAACAAGACATTTATTTAGCTTTTCTTTTATTAGAAACAGCTATTTTATGGGTACACATTTTTTTAAAATAACTATCTGTCATAGACTAAAAAATTATATGAAGTTGCCATAAAAACTATGTAGAATAATTAACTCTTAACTCTTTGTTAAATGTATGTGTATTTTTTGTTTCAGGCATGTGCCCCGCGGTATGTCTCATTCGTGAATGCCAAGTTGAACCAGCGAGATCCCGTGGGATCGTGCTTCGTGGCCAAAACACCAGACGCTATTGATGTCAATGAATTCTCTCCATGTCGTAATTGTAAGTGCATTATCTAATAAAAATTATACTTACAGATACTCGCATGAAAGATAATCCCGCATTAAATAATTATATTCGTTTAGTATCAGATATTGAAGTTCAGTATTCTAGGAAAGCCGAATAGTTAGTAGCTAAATACTTACATTCTACAAAAAATTTGCAAATTAAATTGCGTCATTTCGTCGAGTAAATCAGTTCATAGATTATATGTAACCAACAACAACAAAACTATTAGTTACCTACTTAAAATGGCGGCATAATAAAAGCGCGCGAAATAGCCGATCACTTCCGCCGGTAATGGTAAATTAGGATTTGAAATTAGCGTGACGTTTATACAGTGCCACGTTTAATGCTACATATATGGCTAACAATAGTGTTTATATTTTGTGTATGTAACAATTTATTTATGTTTTAATTTATCTGGTATATTAATATTTAAATAGTTATTTGTTTTAAGTTATAATTAACTTTATTTGTGCATTTATATTATAAACTAACTTTTATTATCTGCATTTAGTTATTATGATATTACCTACTCTGTTTAGGGTTCCGCACTCAGGATGACGGTGAGTATAAGTGTAAAATAGATGTTAATGCACCAATCGCCAATTCAACATTCTTTAGTCCCATAACTTTAGGAAATATGTGTAAAATCTCAGATGTTTTGAATAAACATGAGATCATAACTAAGTTATTGCAATTAAAACCATAGATAAAAGTAACGACCTAATGGTTCATAGAGTATGCAACTTTACGCGTTTTTATCATCTTTACTCTGTTGCATCGTATTCTCTATAATCTATGCTACTATTTCGCCGCGCCTTGTTATGATCTCATGAAACCGCTCTTCACGATACCGATATTAAATGTTAACACCACACAACATTGTAAATAATAGAATATCATTGTCGTAGATTAGAAAATTTAAATCCAATTAAATGAAATCTGTTTAAACTATACCAATTGTATATGGAATAAAATTATAATTTGTCCAAGCATTTGGATTAACATTTACGACCATTAAATCTTTATATGGTAGATATATTAAAATTTAACTTGGTAATACATAAGTTTATATATAGTTCGAAGACAAGTGTTATTGTCGAACTCAAAGAAATTTATTCTAAAATAAACGATAAGTATTAAAACTTTGTATAAAATTTGCATGTAAGTATTTATGTATGTGTATTGTGTATCATTATTTTAGCTTATGTATAGATGTATAATCCACGCTTAAATGAAGTTAACATTAGTATAGGATAGAATTCCTCCCTTTAAATCGGTTATTACATTCTAATGTGTTAATTCATACAAGAAATAAGGTTTATAATTTAATTGTATGTTACTTAGGTGTTTAATTTTCTACAGATTATAGGTTTTAATTAATATACTTGTAAAATAATCTGACGTTTCAATTAGACGTTTCTCCTTTTTTATCTCAGTGCCATATTTTTAATCTGTGTCAAAATCCGCAGCGAGCCATGGACAACGGAAGACTGGAGTGTGCCAGGCCGGTTTTTCTGCGGCAGTATCAAAGGTAAGTTAATGTAAAAATAATAACAGTCATTTTCTTAATATGGAGGAGGTGGATCGAATATTTTTTTATTCGAATATTAATCTTTTCACAAGTTTGTGATAATAGCTTTTAAATGCATAGCTAGCTAGATACATGTATAAAATTCGAATAATATAAACCAAAGTAAATTACAAAAATATTTGCAAAACGCTGGCATCGAATTCTTTTAAAGAATTGACCGTTTAAAATTGCTGTAACTTTTACCAACTCTGGATTCCGACATAAAAACAACACTAAATTACGATTAAGTACGATTTAAATCTGTTAACCTCATATAAAATCAGTGTAAAGCACGCGAAATATGTAAATGGGGGTCTTACAAAATTAGTATCATTATCGACTTCGACACGCTCATTAGTAATACGTCCTGTTGTGACTGAAATTACCGCAAAATGAATTACACGAGCGAAATCGTTATGTGCCGTTTGTCATTTTATCATTCCGTTATTCAAACTTTCTTTTTTAATTCGATCAAAGGTAACGCTACTGGAGTTTGCCTTCTTATTTCGTTTTTATGATCCAGTTTGCAATTACTACATTAATTTTTATATAATTATATATTGTAGATTTCATCATAGTATGAACAATTATACAACAACAAACACATATACAGTTATACACATATATTTATTGCCATAGATTTAATGAAGGATGATCATTTCAATTATTGTATACATTTTGCTAGCTTAAATTCTCATTCTAAAATCATAACATATTTTTAATAATATTTTTCGATCGGAATTTAAATTTTACAGCAAAAAGTTTTACACGTCTCCTTGAATTCGTGGATCCTATTTCGCGCCAAAAAAACCCTAGTTCACGTTAAGCGTGATTTTACAATCGTGGGAATAGTAGTGCTGTATTATCATAGCGATCGCATCTGCGCGCACGTGACGCGCATGCGCACTACGCTTATGAATTATTTAACTTTTATTGTTGTCAGCAAAAAGTTTACTATAATTTAGATGACTTTATAACCAGTAATATCAATTTCAAATCTTTTTTCACCATCCTTTATTAAATGAATGCATGCTATGCTATTGATGAATTATAATAATATAAAAAAATTATAGCAAACTGAATCATGAAAACTAATTGATACGTTATGACAGAATGTTTTTGTTTGTTTATTATTTTTGAAGTGAAACTTCTTTAGGCGCATTAGCGTAAATTTGTTAGGGATAATAATATAAAATAATAACGCAATAATAATAATATTAGCGCCACGAAGATGTGCAGCGTTTTTGTCGAAGAAAGGGGAGAAAACGATTGAGACCGATTGAGAGAGAGAGAGAGAGAGTGAGAAGACCGAATTACCTTATAGAAATATTAATATAAATAATATAAATATTTTTAAAATGAAAATTTCGTAAAGAGAATTTATGAAATATAAGTATTTAATACTGCAAAATAATATATTGATATCTCAAATGACGAATTGTAAATTAAGATGCCACGTGTTTTATTATCGAAGAAATTAATTAAATTTATAATTTGTATTTTGATACTTTTAATATTTTAATGACAATTCCTTTTCCCCTTCCTGTAAGTCTCGGAAATCTAAAGTTTTAGATTTGTATAAATATGAACAAGACTTAAAAATTAGTTTGCCAAAGAAGTTTCACTTCTGACATGTGTATAGGCAGCGGCACGTAAGTCTAGCGCTGGCCGATACGTGGAGGGGATTGCTGCGCATGTGTACTGTCGCGCGGGGGACGGAATGCGACTGGAGAGCCAATCAAAACTCTTCATTCCGCTAGCCCCCCTCAGGTACCTTATTTTTTACTTCTACGCAATAACGGTCAGCGCTAGAGTTTCGTGCCGCTACTTGTACTTTGTACGCATGCACTTTTTATTTATTTTTTATATGCACGACAAAGACCCGTTGTGTGAAGACGTAACACAGATTAGCAACATTACGCAAGGAGCTTAGAGATATCTATGGAGATACGTTATCTTTTCAAGAAACGTATTGCATAAATTTTGGACTACCTACTGAACTGTCTAGCAAAACGTGCTTTGTATATTGATGCTTGTTTATACATTTTTAGATGTGGCTCTATATTTACCTTCACAATGTCAGACTATATCAACTATATAGTTGTATTGTTGAGGGCTGACATTGCAAATCGCGCCCTCAGCATTTTACCAACCACATCATATAATTTTATTTCCTTGCCTTTTTCATATGCAAAACAAAATTCCCTGTCACTGCGATGTCTTAAACATTCTTTGTGATTTTACAAACATGGATTCGGAACGCAGCCGTAAACGGGCGGCCATTTGCAGACAATGGCGTTGGCGGGAAAAGCGATACGCGCGCCATTTCGAAATTGAATCGGCGACATTTAGGGATTTGTCGGAATAATTGTTGTGTTTATTTATCATATTCGATAAATAATATATACGAACACTGGTTTCGACGTAAAGCTGACGTGATTTAACATACAATAACGAAAGGTTTTATGAAGTCAAAAAAATATAGTTTTGTAGTTTCGATGGTCTATTGTGAATTGTGATGTCAATATTACGACAAGGACTTATAAATAATAAACCAATCGAAGTTTATGTGGTAAAACAATAAATAGGTTAAGTTATTTAACATTATTATTGCAACTACATCAAAGAAGGTAACAATTATATTAAGTAACGGTAACGATTATTAGCTTTACCATGATTTAGATTCCACTCACTAGTGTCCTTAAATCATTATCTACAATGTCACACTGTTCTAGTTAACATTTATGGTCTTATTCGTAAACGTATTGTAATAGAAAGTTCCTTTGCATTTTTTAAGTGACAACAGTGAAAAGCTTATTTTTCTGTTTATGCTTATGGGATTAAGCATTACACTTAGTACGACTCTCGTAAGTTAAAGTTAATACGTGGCATATGAAGTATCACCTCGACATCCGTCGTCCACAACCGAACGTTTTTACGGCACCTTTTGCCACCCACCTCTATGTAAAACCGATTACCAAATAAATTCAACTTAGGATGCTACGTCCGTGCGTACAAATTCTTAAAAGGTCGGCAACGCATTTCCAAACAGTCTAGCAGTGTGACTAGAAGCGGCGGTATCGCTTAACATAAGCCTCTTGCCCGTTTGCCCCATTTGTTCTATAAAAAAAACTAACACTTATCACTAAGTCTTCACTCTGAATCTAAGGGTTATAATTGCGAATTCTCAATGAGATAATATAAAATACTCTCAATGTTGTCATCAATTATTTATATTACTATTGGTTTGGAATCAAATTACATATTTCTGCGGCTTAAAGGCTCTAAAAGACAGCATATTCTTAAAGACCGTCAACATAATTAGGGTAGCGGTACCGTCAGCACTGTATTCTAAGTGACAACTGCTCGCTTAGCCCTAAAAAAAAAGGAATGGAGTCCCACATTAAACAAGTAGAATAAACGCTTCGAGCGCGTAGTGAGCTTGCGGTCATGCTGTTTAAATGTTAATATGCAGCCGAGAGCATTTCCTAGAGAAAATTAGCATGAAATGAATGGGTTATAGGTGCGTTATGGGGATTTAAACGGCCTCATTTTATCACCTCTAATAGAATATACAATTATTCACGTTTAACTGTAGCCAGTATTACATATTTTATTTCTGGTACGTGCTTAGGCACTGGCAGTAATGTTTTCAATTACCAGTAAAGGATATTTTGTTTTTAGTTTGCAGTTTAAAGGCCGGCAACGTACCCACTAAAATGGTCGTCCATGGGCTGCGTAGCTGCCCTTTTTGGGTGTAGGCCTGTTTTCTCCCCTGTACTATAAAAAAAAATGATCCAGCAATTTTCGGTTAGGTGAATACTTTTTATTATCTTCAGTTGAATCTTGTATTTTATTTGCTGTCAAGTAAATAACATAGAATTTACGCACTCGTTTGCAGTATTGCGAACGCTAACTGTAAAGTGTCTTACTCGTATTTATATACCGATTAAAAAATAATATAAAAACATATTTTTATTTACGCGATTAATTACTAACTTGAATTTAATCTATCTGAACGTTATAACGTGTATTTTTTTAAACATATTTAGGGATATTCGCCTACAATATAAATACTACATTATGTATAGACATATATATGGACATAAATTCATTTAAAAGTCTTGTGAGAAACAAAACAGTCGTGTCTGTACTGATAACAGAAAACATGTGTGCATCGATTTGTCACTTGGCACTCGAGATTATATTTATTGATGTGATTTTGAGATGGACCATACCCGTCTGGAATGACCTTATAACTTTTTTGCTTTCTTTTCTTTCTTAATTTTGCTTTTCTTATGTTTTTGTCTATAGTAAAATTTATCTAAATATACTTAAGGTTATAAGATCAATTGCCAATTGGAAATTTCGGAATCAATTAAATAAAAATAAAATAAACCTAACACTTATGAAGGTTTATTGTATATAAAATACAATATTCGCATCTAAGAAGAGAAACCATGAGTAGCGTGGGCGCCTGGACCAATAAAATATGCGCGCGCGCCGTCAGCCACGCCATATAAAGACAGGCGACTGCGCTGCCGGCTATGCGGCTCCCGCGGCGGCGCCTATGTTTCAGCTTGTCAAAACGATCATGACATAAAAATACTTATTCTTTGCCTGTTTTGGACCTTGACGATTTATAGCGTTTAAACATAATTTCTCAAGATTATTCTCTAGGCGCATAAGTTCTAGCTATATCCTTAGAAAATTTGTTTTAAATCTTCGATGCGTTCTACCATTTTATTATCTAATGCAGTGTTTAGTGACAAAAGCAAACGTTTCTTAACCCTGAGTCATGCATTCAAACCTGGCCTACCAATGGATTTTTTATAGTATGCGTATGTACTTGATCACAGTAGTGAAGGTTATGAGGAATCCACCACGTCTTAGAACATATGGCGTAAGCTTACAAAATTTTTATTGTATTATTTAAAAAAAAATACAGAACTTTGTGTGATGTGTGGAACACTAATTGATAGCACTTTCTTTGTCCACCGATGCGTCGACATTCATTACAATTATGTAAAGCTTTGAAACACTAAACTAAACAAAATTAACTACTTGAATTAATAACTAATTAAAAAAATAATAATAATAGAACATACGCTATTGAGCGGTTACTGAACGCAATATAAACGTATACGATAAAATTCTGCTTTTATTAAATTTGTTATAGTAATATTGTCCAAAAATACTGTAAATGTTACTTCGTGTCGGCTCTCATAAGAAAAATAGATAACATTATCTTTTCAGATTATAATACCGAAAAGTAAAATTATAGTCACTTGTAGGTCACTGATATCGTAACACTTTTCGGAGATCGTAAATAATAATAGTAATTTCGGTCCATTTCCTCCAATGCATTATATGATAAGTGCATCTTCACACATAAACCAATGCACTTATCTGGCACTCTGCGGTGTGTATGTTAACGGGAGATAGCGTAAGTGCTACCATAAAATAGTACTGATACTTGAACAATTCTCATTATCCTGACTCTGTGATAGTTTGGATCGTCTTCCAATTGTCTGGAGTGGGGAAATAAATTTTCTTTAAATTATTGTATTCATCCACTCATTTGCCCAGAGTTATGCGTACCTCCAATCTCTGTGACTAAACCAATTTAGTTGATTTGTAGAGATATAATTTAATTTAGAACAATGAAAACACTATTAAATGAGCTTTTTTGAAAATTTCAGGATGGGCAAAGACTCTTTATGGGTGCGCCTGGCAGTTTCTACTGGCAAGGTAATTAATATATTATTATATATTTTATGTATTATTTCATTAGATTATGAAACAAAAATTTTATTGTTATACATAATTTGTAAAATTTTTGGTTCATTCAAGACGCAAGTCCCGTAGTTATATATGATTCTGAATATTAATAAAAATCCACAGGACGAACAATATCCATTGATCCTAGCGCAAGATTCAACTACTATATGCCGAAGGAAGGTAAAAATATCGACAGTGACCTCGTAACATTTAACCGAATAACACAGCGACGGCTTACCAACGCATAATCCAAAAAATAAACCCAAATCATTATACTTTATTTTAATTGATTATAGAACTTTTAACTGTTATCATTCAAAAATCTTGTGTCAAAAGTAATACAGCCCAAAAGTTCTATGTAATTAAAATAAAGTAATCTATTCATGCAGCTGTCAAACCATTAAGGAATTGCAATGGTGCAGGCAACGTGAATAGCTTCATTGGCTTTTCATGTCACATCGTTGGATCCACGTCCCTTAGTGCACGAGTTAGTTATAACTCGTAGTTTGTCTCGTAGTGAAGTGCTAACTTTCTTGTCTTCTTCGATCCTGCGGGTGTTCCTAAATCTTCCAATCGTTAGCTATTTTGAAAATAAGATCCGATTATTTGGTTAAAGCGTAGATATATGAATCTGTTTAAATTAATAAACACACGCCCCTATTCTGTTACCCTATGTAATGAAATTTAACAGATCCCAATAATTTTAGAAGTAGACAGTAGACCGATACCTTTAGAATGGGTTAAATAGGATTAATTAATGCTTCAAAAATGCCCATTGCTTCAAAACTAATTTATGATGGAATCGTTCCTCTCCCATTGGCTTTTAAATTAATTGGTCGCTACGATTTGGTGGTTAACAACATTAAAATTATGGTTATTAAACTTTTGAGGTGTGAACCCTAATCAGATTTTAATTAATGTATTTTTAACGGTTTATTATTGTTGGATAGATTTGTCGGATCATTTGTTAAAATTCATCTGCTTATTTTCGAGCTATTCAATCGTCAATCATCGCCATTTTGAATATAGCCTGGTGTAATAATTCTGCTATCATGTCCAGTACTTTACATGAATTGCGAACATTGCTGCTGTGATTATGGTGTCGACTAACCAAATTTTGAATTGAATCACAAACATGCTTGGAAAACGCCTTAGAAGAAAACACTTGTTAAATTGTTAATCCGAGGTATCTGTTATAGGACAACTGAAAGTGCAAACGTTGAACCAGAGGCCGGTTTTGATTTCAACGCCAGAAGCTAGCCCCAAGTATGATGACTCCTACATGGGTTACTCAGTTACTGTGGGAGATTTCGCTGGTCAAGGAATCCAGGGTGTTGCTGTTGGGGTACCACGAGGTTCGGAGTTGAGGGGATTGGTAAGTATTTTGTTGAGTAAGAGTTTCATAGATTAAATTTTAATGGACAATCGTTGCAGTTAAATTAATGATCGTAAGAGTCCTCCGGAATAGGTACCTTGTATTTTCTAGGTTCACAATGTTATCAATTACATATGAAATTATTGTAGTTTCACGTCAGATAAGAAAAGTCTTTATTTACTCATTCACAGAAAAACTTAATTTTTAAAACTTGATGTTAGTACTGTATGTCTTACTTCTTTTTTCTTAAAATTAAAATATTATCATTGCTTAAATAACAGGTTTTTCATCCAGCTGTTCTTTGAAATAGGCCTCTCCTAGTGCCTTACATCTCATTCTACCTCTATCTTACCGATCCCTTCGTTGAATCATCCTCCCATCTCTTTAATTGCTTTTCTCTTCATCTTTTTTCGTTTCTAGGCTACCAAATTTAACACTTCAGTATCGGTAGAACGTCATGCAATGAAACTTATAAGATAACTCTATGTAAAAAAATAAATGTCTTCTCAGGTCGTGCTTTATACCTGGGAACTCCAGAATATCAAGAACATAAGTGGCTCTCAAATCGGAGCCTACTTTGGGTACAGTCTCGCCAGTGGCGATATCGATGGTGATGGGGCAGATGACATCATAGTTGGGGCTCCCATGTTCACCAAGCCTAGAAGTGGGGGTTATGAGCATGGACGAGTGTATGTCATCTACCAGGGAAAGAACAGAGTGAGTATTCTGTATGGAGTAATACGATCTTGTAAATTCTTTATTTGCCGTTTAGTATAAGGTAGTGTACCTTTGAACATATTTTAAAATATTAATATTATTAAAAATTTCAGTCCTTCTCCAAGAATCACGCCAGAACTGGTGAAGTATCCCGCGGAAGGTTCGGTTTGGCTGTTACTTCTCTTGGCGACATCAATTATGACGGTTTTGGAGGTAAGCGTAGATTTAATGCTATTTTTAATTTTAAAAGACCTACTGATGAGAAGGGACGAAGACGAAATTCGTACCACGCTGGAACCATGGGCTAGAGGCGCGCATGAGAGGAAGCAGTGAAAACAGTTGGTGCTTCCTCTTTGCTTTAAGCTATTTAGAAAGACGTTGTTCATCTTTATAAATATAAATCTTCTATGCGTGTTGTTTGTTTAGTTTTTTCCTTTCATAGATTGCTTATGTTCTAATGTAATTGATGTGTATGTGTGTTAAATTTATGATGTCATATTTTCTTGTATTGTAGGCATACACATTGTTTTAGAATATATAAATAAATAAATAAAATACATAGAAAGAAGAAATATTTTTTTTTAATTTTAAGGGCATTTTGGATTCGGTAAATTTTATTTATTTTGTTTAATACCAACCTAATATGCCAAAATATCATTACAGATATAGCCGTAGGCGCACCATACGGTGGTGAAAACGGCCGTGGTGTTGTCTTCATCTACCATGGCAGTGAACTCGGTATTGGAGAAAAGCACTCGCAGGCCATCACAGCTGAGGAGATCAGCCCCAGTCTTTCCACGTTTGGTTTCTCTTTGTCAGGAGGAGTAGATTTGGACAATAACAATTACACTGACCTGGCCGTGGGCGCGTATAAGTCGGATAGTGTTGTATTCTTGAAGTGAGTCCAAAAACTTAATATTCCATATTTATAAACAATTCAGTTTTATAGCACATAATATGCAAACAAACATTCAAAATCCTCTTTATATGAGTATTGAAACACTAGTCTATTTGGACTCTTCTTTCGTCTGTTTCTGTCAAAATGTGTTTACGCTGTGATGAAAAAAAAAATGTAGAATAACTATTAAAAAAAAAAACTTATTTGTTCCGCAACAGTACACATTTTTGTCTATTTGATTTATAAAGCATATAGGTAATCAATTTATTGCTATAACCCGAAATAATATTATTTTTATCGGAGAGGAATCCTACCTAAGTACCTTCGTCTATGCTATATTCACTTAGACTGGGTGTATTAGTTGATTATTATGACTATGTGCAGCAAAAAGGAGAGATATATATAATATATAAAGTATTATATTTAATTTAAGTATAAATATGCCTTTACATAAACTGTAGTCTTTTTATATTTGTTCGAGAACTTTTAAATATAAAATTAATTATTCATAGATCTCGTCCAGTGGTGAAAGTTATGGCTGACGTCAAATTCATGGGAGACAGCAAATTGATCTCTCTTACTGACAAGAGGTGTCGACTCTCCAATGGCACCGAAGTTGCGTGTGCGCAGCTTATGTTCTGTCTTACTTACGACGGCGTCAACGTTGATCAGCAAATAAGTGAGTACTATAACGTAATATATAATATATTCAGAGAACATATATATGATTAATTTCATAGCCTCTTATAATTATCAAAAACGTAAATGACGTCATCTAAAGACGTAACTTATGTGTATTTACACTTTTTGCACAATACTAAAATTAAAAAAAAACATTGTGCAATGGGCGGGCTTATCTATACTAAGCTATCTTCCAGACAATCCTATATATAATGTTTTTAATTATTGTATACATCATTAAAATATATTATAATACTGTGGAAAAATATTAGACATAGTGTTTCTGTCCACCATGAGGTCGAACAAAGTTTAAACTTACATACCAATGATACGCAACAAAATTATAATAATTTTAAATTAAAAATCTTGTGGAATTTCGTTGCGCGAGGAAAGCACCAGCTCTGGGTTCACCGGTACTATCTACCAGGCGCCAACTTTAATTAGCCCAAGAGTCTTTAAATAATTATTATAATTATAATTCGCTACTACATATGGTAAATATGTATGGCTTAGTAAATGGCCTATACTACTAGAAGTATACTTTGCCAAATACTACTGAAGTTAAGCTTCTCTATAAATGCTACGTCAACAAATACTTCTCTTTTTCAAGCGGAAGGATACATTTGTTACTTCGGTGAGTTGTAGACGTTTACATAGGAACGTCATAAATGTGCTTTAATTGTGTAGTGTATAGGAAAATCTGTAGTTTATTTTATAATTTTATGAGTTTGTCAACACACTCCGTCTGTCTTAATGAATACATAAATCAATGTGATCTAATATTTTATTTATGGGGTTTTTGCCTTTATAAATAATCTAAAAGTAGAAAAAACACAAAAAAAGAGTGCACCTTGGTGCCTGAAGGGCTACACAACATTACAAAATTCTTTAAAATCCTTATAAACTAACTACAACCAATACAAAAAACGAAACGAATACACAACAAACAGTAAAGTCGTTTAAATATCTAAAATATAAAATTCTCGTGTCACAATGTTCGTTCCCATACTCCTCCGTAACGGCTCGACCGATTCTTATGAAATTTTTTATGCATATTCAGTAAGTCTGAGAATCGGCTACTATCTATCTTTCACACCCCTAAGTGTTAAGGGGTGTCCACCAAAAAAAAAAATATTATGTGGCATTAAAAAATATATGCAACCCTTAATTTTTACCCCTCTACGATCTACCTCTATTTTTATTATTATAGATGTTATTGAACTAAAAAATGTTTCCTAGAAATAATATACATGGCAAAACAACGTTTGCCGGGTCAGCTACTATCTTATACATATTAGGTACGTTCATCTTAAATTTCTGAAGCAATCACATCCCGGGTTGACCAAAAAATACCCTTTAACCCTTATCAGTTGTAGTTTCTTTAGATGTCAAGCAATGATTTGTAAATATCATCATCATAAAAATGTCATTGCACAGAATATACCAAAAGCGCAAGTGTACTAAGTGTTTTTGGGATTTGAATTTTTTGGCCCATTTTCTAAAACGTCCATCAAACTTAAATCTCGTTTCAAGAGCTGTAACCATTTCTTCTGTAGAAATCTGACAGCGCTCAAGACAAGATTGTGAATTTAGATACGTTTTAGAATATGGACCTTATAATGTACACAAAAAAAAGGCTTCAAAATCGCCAAGGTTTTTTAATAGGATATTTTTCATTAGACCTTATATAAATGTTTTATTCCAGACTTCGAAGTAACGTTAGATCTAGACTCCCGCCAAAAGACCAGCAAGCGATTATTCTTGATGGAGAGCAGACAAACCGTGTACAAGACTCACATTCTTCTTACTCAGGGGCAGCAAGAGTGTAAGGAGGTTATGGTGTACCTTGATGTAAGTAAATGTATAATATTAAAAATATCCCTCAAAATTTTTCGTACTTGAAATAAAGAGCTGTTTCCGTTTCCGTTAAATTATTGATACCCATAATTCTTTAATGAACGGCTTTATATTAAAACTTATACCAAAGTAAACTTTATAAAAATAACGTTTAAAAGTTTTCAATTGAAAACCTTTGGTTAAAAAACTTCCCCTTTAGAAGTCGGTTTAATTATTGAAACAGTTCTCCTGGATAAAGAAGAATTAACGAAGATGACGCAAATTGTCTGCCTAAATATTGAGTATTATTGAACGATATTTTAGGAGGAAGTTCGCGACAAGCTCACCCCAATAGAAGTAAAGCTAAGCTATGAGCTGGTCAACCAGCCATCAGGGAACGTGGTGCCTCCAGTCCTTGACCACACTAAGAGCATAGAACACACTGACTCGCTCAATATTCAGAAGAACTGTGGACCCGATAACGTGTGTATACCCGACCTTAGGATGTATGTCACAACGTAAGTACGAGATATTATAGTAATATAAATTAATTTTTAGTTAATAATTTTTAACAAACTTTTCCTTATGTATATTTAATCTAGGTACTGTGAATTTCTATATTTTTTTAATATAACACAAAAAGTAATTTAAAATTTCACTTATTTAAAAACATATTATGATTTCTAACACCCATAAAAACAATTTCAGGCCAATAGTGAACTACGTGTTAGGGTCAGGCGAGGATGTCCACATAGATGTGAAGGTAGAGAATGGAGCTGAAGATGCCTTTGAAGCTGCATACTTCCTGAAAGTGCCTGCTGGAGTCACTTACTCTAGGATGGAACGACTTGACAAAGACCTGTATGTATTGCCAATATTAAAATTGTTTAATTTTTTTAAACAAAGTGGTTCGGTAGTGTTAGTGAAATACATATATATACACTATTAGGTCCATATTCAAACTCATATCTCGAGTCAGTCAAATATGTCCAACTAACAGAAAAAATGGTTTGACAGCTGCTGAAACTAGATTTAAGATTAAACGTCCTAGAATTCATAAGTTCTTAAGCAGTAATTACCCTATAACATTCAAAAGTTCAGATAGTACTGCGTCTATGTAAGTACTATGTACGCGATAATCTTAAAAACTACTGGATTAAATTGAATGATTCCTGTTATTATGATTATACGTTAATTAAAATATAACGATTATTAAAGAGCTCGAAAAAATGTTCGAAATCGAAATCCACACTGTGTAGCTGCGGACGAAAGTGATTCATAAAGTATTGTTAAAAGACAATTCAGCCCTCGAAACATAAAGTAATGTAACAAATATCATTTAAATGTAGTACTCAAACCAAATAAAATTAAACAATTTTAACTTAGTGATTCTGAAACCGGTTCTATTTTCATTAATAAGTTCTTATACGCAATTTCAAGTTTAAACTTCATTACATAACTGATAGAGAAATTAAGAAGAGCAATTGGGTTTGGTCTACAGAGTGCAGAATGTCGTTTGTAAGAAGTAATTCTATTAATTATTTATTATATTTTTAGTTCTGACGCACCGCCAATATATTGTTCTATGAAGAAGAAGGGCAATGACGGCAACAGTACCCTCAAATGTGATTTGGGCAACCCTATGGCCACTGGACAAAGCGTAAGTTTGATATAATTTTGTTGTTTCGCAAAAGCAAGAAAATGTTCAAGTTAGTTGAAAGGCTTATTAAAACACGTATTTTTTAATTAATTATTAGGGTTGCAAAACTGGCGTGGCCACAGATCAGTACAAATTAGAAATTGTCATTGAATAAAAAAATACGTCACTTCAATCCGACTTAGGGCCCAAGAAAAGAGCGTATCAGTTCTTAAAGGGCCGGCAACGCAATCGCGAGTATTGGCATTTAAAGTGTACATAGGTATCACTTAAGATCAGATGTGCCCCCTGTCCGTTTGCCCTGATCTTTAAAAAACTTCTGTTTTTCTATATAGATTATTATTTAAATATTTTTTTTACAATAACTTTCTATTTTGGAGGTACACAGATACGAGTTGATATTTTATAATTTACATCTTACATACAAAAAAAATATAAATCATTATAAATATAAATCATTCTCGACTCCAATTGAACACACAAAAAATTCATTCAATTCGGTCCAGTCGTTTAAAAGGAGTTTTGTGACATACAGTACAGTAGAATTATATATATATAAAGATAGTGTAGGGATTCATCATTAGATTAAAAGCTCTTAATTTCTTTGTGTACAACGTCATTACAGAATAGTTTTGACGGTTGTAATACGAAAAAAACTAGACATTCTAAATAGCATTTGCTAATCAACTCTATTTGATCTCCAGGTAAACTTCCGAGTGATTCTCGAAGTGGATTCCCGCGTGACGACCCTCAACTTTGACATGGAGACCAACTCAACTAACCCGGAACAAGGCACGCAGTATGACAACGTGCGACATCTACCGATCGGAGTTGTAGTCAAGGCTGCCCTTTCTATTATTGGGTATGAATATTGTATGAATATCAAAAGATTTATGATTTTCATACTTTAAGGGTTTGTTTCACAATGTACGGATAAGTTCAACATAATTTCCAAATTAGCTATTTATTACTTATTGGTAGGATAAACACTATTGTTGCGTTTCACGACTGTCAGATAGCGCTATTCGTCATATAAAGTCCATCAAAAGTTATAAGTCCGATGAAGTGTCAAATAGCACAAAATATCTTCCAAATAATTTTTGTGTTGCATAGATATTTGGTACTTTATCTATACGTTGTGAAACAGACCCTAAATCTTGTATAGTTGTCAATTTACTAGTAATATGTATTGTTTTAGTTTCAATTTAAAAAAAAAAAGAACGTTAAATAACTTTCGAAAATTTGGTTTTACTTGAAGAATTAAAGGCTTGTGCTGTATTTGCTTTTCAATATTTTTTTTTAAATGTATGAAAATTAATTTTACGATTACCGTTTTTACAGCTTTATTAAGAAAATGTATGAGTATTTCGTTAATAATTTTAATGTAATTTTAAACAAATTATTATAATGCTTATAGCACATCAGACCCTCCAGAATTACACTACAACGCATCGCTATATGAATCACAAAACTTGAAGGATGATACGAAATTGGGACCGCAAGTTATCCACAAGTACAATATCAAGAACGAGGGACCTTTCACAGTGGATGAAGCCGAATTATACATTATGTGGCCGTACCAGACCCTAACTGGTAAGTATCTTTATCTATTTTTTTTTATTTTTGTCGTTAAAACCTGTACTCTCCGTTCCAAGTATACCCATAACATGAATGGTAGTTACGTAATATAAATAGAAAACTTAGCAGCGCTCCGTGGGCGTATTTGGAACTAAACGGGAGCCCGAATTCAAATATGTTACATGTATTAAAGTATACAAATTCCGTAAAAAATATTTTTAAATTATATTTGACAAAACTATAGTTCCTGCTCCTGAATATGGTTTGTTTGGTCTGTATTACATACTCTTGTAATTGAATAATATTTCAGTACGATGATTCTTCAAAATTTCTGCTTTAAAGCCGGCTTCGGTTCTGCAGTTTTTTTACCAAAGTATTTGACGTAGATTTAACTTCTTTGGTTCATAGATATCTTTGTTTCTCAACGATATTCCTTATTTTCAGGCGAGAACCTTCTATACATGTTAGTTCAACCACAATGGGTCGGTGACATGGTCTGTGACGTTGCAAGGCATGTGAACCCTGAAAATCTATTTGTGCAAAACCCCTATGCCTTCTTGCTTACGAAGGAGAATGAAGGTGAGTCAGTCAGAGTAATTTTAAGTGTTGTTCGTTTCTATAGAATTTACGGATCATAGTAAAACTTAATAGTATTTTCATAAGCTTGACTAGGCTTAGGTACTTTTTGATATTAAAAAATATAATTATAACTTCATACTAAATATAAATATTTTCCTAGCTATGATGAGCAGCGAGTTCTACTCGGCTTCACAAGTTGGTGGTACCGGAACTTACTATGGACAAAGTATGTTTTTTAAATATTATATTATTTACTTCCTAATAAGTAATAATTAAATAGTAAACTTTTAAAATTAATTTAATCTTAAGTTATATTTTTATGGTTTTTGCATTACAGAATACTGGGAACAATTTGCAAGTCAGGGTGGCGGTCAACAAGAAGGTCAGGTCACTGGTGACCAATTTAGTCAAAGTGGGGGACATGTTAGTCAAAATGGAGGACAATTTAGTCAAGGGGGCTCCCAACATAGCCAAACGCACTTTAGTCAATCTGGTGTTCAAAATGGCGGTCAATACCAAGGCGGAAGAGTTTCAGGCGGGCAATTTAGCACTAGCCATACATCAGGCGGTCAATCTGGAAGCCAATTCAGCACAAACCATGCATCTGGCGGTCAAGTCTCTGGACAAGGTACATACAACCGCACCTGGACCGAAGAAAACCTCTCAGAAGAAGAAAAGGAAGCTATTAGGAAAAACCTTGAAGCCATATCCAGAACACCTGGTCAAACAGGCAGAGGTCACAGCGAAGGCGCGGTATATCTAGGCGAAGGAAGATATAGAGACAGCGCTGGTCGAATCTTCAGATATGGTGAGGGAGAGAGCCAAGGACAAAACGGCTACGAAAGAAGAGTGTACATAAGCGGACAGCCATTTGAAGCGGGTTACGAAAATGATGGACGCATCGTGCGAGTGAAAAATAGAACTATAATCTATGACTCGAACCATAATATAGTTTCCCAGACGGAGACGAGCACAGAGTATGGATCCCTCGGCCATGAAGGAGAAGCTGGAAGTTCATTTAATTCGTAAGTAAAAATTGATAATATCTTCTATGGGATAGGAGGCAAATGAACAAGGTCACTTATAGTAACTGTTTACTGCCGCCCGTTGACACCCGCAACACCCGGTCTGCAAGTGCGTTGCCGGCCTTTAAGTTGTACAGTCTTGTAAGTCCTAACGGTTTGGAAATACCTGGAATGGTAGCTGGTTCCATAAAGTTGTAGTGCGCAGCAAGAGGTGTCTAAAATTGCGTTCTGTCGTTGAATTGAATCGTCAGGTCGTAATGACGTCCGATGATGAAATTTAACATTTATCATGCATAATTTTTAAACCATTTATTATACAGATTATATAAAGCGACGTAGCATATATATAATTGAAATACATTTATGATTTGGTTATATTAAATTTTAATAGTAAATTAATTTCTGGTCTAACCAAACCAAATAGTCAGTTCTATATTAAACTAGCTGACCTGGCAAACGTCGTTTTGCCATGTGTATCATTTATAATAAGTAATGGGGGTTGATCGTAGAGGGGTGAAAATTAGGGGTTGTATGTATTTTTTAATGCTGTATCATAAAAAAATTAAAAATTATCTAAAAATTAAAAAAATATATTTGGGGGTGGACTACCCTTAACATTTAGGGGATGAAAAATAGATGTTGTCCGATTCTCAGACATACCCAATATGCACACAAAATTTCATGAGAATCGGTCAAGCCGTTTCGGAGGAGTTTAACCACAAACACCGCGACACGAGAATTTTATATATTAGATATGTGTTATGTGAATTTAGCTGTAGTTTTTATGTCAGATGTTTCACCTCTTTTATTTCTGCCACATGATCACTCATCGTACGTATGGTCTAAGCGTTAGCCAGTTTATTCATACTAGTTGTTACAAACGCTACGGCTGAAGATCCTTCAGGCCGCTAGTTAAACGCTGTTTAGATAAAAAGCTCGGCTGTTAATTGAACGGCTAATTAAGCTAGTTCGAGCAGTGTTGGCCTAGTGGCTTCAGCGTGCGACTCTCATACCTGAGGTCGTCGGTTCGACCACGAAACGAATGAATTCTTTCTATTTGCGCATTTAACATTTGCTCGAACGGTGAAGGAATACATCGTGAGGAAACCGACATGTCTTAGACCCAAAAAGTCGACGGCGTGTGTCAGGCACTGGAGGCTGATCACCTACTTGCCTGTTAGATTTAAAAAATGATCATGAAACAGATTCAGAAATCTGAGGCCAAGACCTAAAGAGGTGGGAGCGCCACTGATTTATTTAATTAAGCTAGTTCGCTAAGCTACGACATATACATTCTTTGTTCCTTTCCCAAGCCTAAGATGTTTACTTTTGTACGAGTATGTTGTGAGAGCAGAATGTTGCTTATTTAAATTAGATAGATCATGCTTTAGTTGACTCACCCTGTATCTCTAATTGTTCTAATAAATCCTATAATTCCTATTTTCCAGATACCTCAACAAACAGGGTAGTCAGGGAAGCCGGTCTAGTGCTGGTGGATTCGTGCATGGAGCCTGGTCTACTACAGAAACCATTAACCCAGAGATCATGAATACTGGATCAGCCATCAGGGGAGGTTCTGATGTTACTGTCGTTGGAGATGAAGACGAAGACAGACTGGAAGGTTTGTCTAAATAGTCATGATTTTAGTTATAGTCTTCTATTTATATATGAACGAAAAAAAAAATTTATTTATTTTATAAGAGCATTTGGTTTTGGTACTAAAGTAATTGATTAGACCTATACTGTATTAACTCTGACATTACTGAACATTTTATATTGTAATTCTACTGTACGTGTGTATGTCACTGAACCTCTTAAACGGCTGGACCGATTTGAATAAATTTTGTATGCGTTTGGGTGGCGCCCTGGATGGTTTTAATTCAGAAATCTGCCCGACAGATGGTGCTTCAGTCTGTAACTAGGTTATTTATCTATACAGCAAATAAACAGCTGGTATATATATATATATATATATATATATATATATATATATACATCTTCTGTGCATGTGTTCGTAATTAAACTCCTAAATTGCTGGACAGATTTTGATGACATTTTTTGTGTATTCAAGTGGAATCGAAAATGATTTACATTATTAGATTTGTTTGTATCTAAGACGTGTGTACAAGACAACGTCTGTCGGATACATCAGTTAATTAAAAAAAAATTCACTGAAACCTTAACAGTTATTGGCGTATCTCTAAAAGTCTAAACGTATCCTTTTATAATTTTCATGAGATTTTAAAATATATTTTCTTCCTAGGTTTTGGAGTTTATGCCGCCCAAAACAGTAACAACGAATTCAAGGTGGGAATGGCCGACGTCACTGGCGCTGTCAACTCCCGCCAAAGCGAGAACTACCGAGGCCAGGGATACAACTCTGGGCAAAGTTCCCAGGGATTCCAGGGTCAAAGCGCCCAGGGATACCAGAGCCAAGGGAGAGGAATCCAGGGAGGACAAGGATACCAGACAGGATACCAAAGTGGAAGTTACCAGAGCGGCTCCCAGGGAACTGCTGGTGGAGCACATGCATCCAGTGGTGGATATTCTTATTCACGATCAGGTATAAAATATTACAATTGTATTTTTTATTATGTAACGGGCAGGTGTTCACACTCACATTCCCAGAGGGCACGCGATTACGTTGCCGGCCTTTTAAGAATTGGTACGCTCTTTTCTTGTAGGTCCTACATTTACTTAGTTTGGTTTAAAAAGACATCATTGTTGTATGTGTCACACGTAATACAATTTTATAACATTATTTTACTCTAAATCTGACACGGGGCGTCGATTTTTGGAACTTTCTGGTTAATTTATTCAAGCACCAAATGTTAATTGTGCACTAGAACGCACCTAGAACGTGGTCACGTGGTCTATAAAATTACAATATTTAATTTTGATTCATAGTCATATCCAAGAAACATGCTCACAAATTGGTACATTAGTCGAAAATCTGTATTTATTTATTTATTTATTTATATAAATAATGCAGTGATAATAAAATTTTCACTTATCTCTCAACAATTTCATTGTAACATTGTAATAAAAAATATATGACGATTGTACTAAAACGACTGAATGTCTAGGTGGCCACTCATATTCCTCTTCGGGTGGTAGCTTCAGCTCATCTTCAGAACAAAGACACGAGAGCACCCGGCGCCGAAGACAAGACGAGGTACTTATAACTTATATGTTTTAACGGCATGTGTGTGACCCAAAGATCTGCATTTTTGATATCGTTTTTTTTTTTCAATATATAGGTGGACCCCCAATTAATGGAGATGCTGAAGCGATGTGAAGAGAAGTACAAGTGTTCAGTAGTACGGTGTCGTACAGGACGTCTGCTGAAGGGACAGGAAGTGTGGCTGGCACTGCGCGCGCGCATCAACGCTACTGTTCTTAATGAGGTAGGAATTTATAGGAAATGGAAAATAACCTAATTCGTAAAGTAGTCGTTAAATTCGTCAAAATCAAAATTTATTTATTCTTAACTGTGTACGCTTCTGGAAATCAATTTAAAAAAAAAATTTAAGATTTAGTTCAAAAATCAAGGGCGAAGAGCTACGTTTTTGGTTTATATAAATATTTTTTTTATTTAACCATATAATTATTATGTACTATGGTTAAATACTTTTTATTCTGTGGTTTCTTTTAAATGTTAAAAAGTTTTAAACAAATATTTTCTGATATTTCTTAGGTAACTTTGTCCCATGCACAAATTCGCTTTTAACAAAAGATTTTATTCACAGATATCAAAGGAACAACCCGTAAAACTGTCAACCCTAACGGCGACCCGTGTATCCCGACTGCCCATGGTCGGTCGGCCATTAGACCAGGGTTGGCAAACAGGAGAAGCTCATACTATGGTCACACCACAGTTGGAAGCCCTTTCCAGTGGTTCAATACCATTGTGGGTGATCATATTAGCTGCTGTTGTAGGGGCATTACTGCTGTTGCTGCTTATCTTCGCTCTTTACAAAGTAAGGCTTCAATTAGTTTTATTAAAATATGTAGAATCTATGACATGGTTATACAAAATTTTCCGTTTCTATCAAAGTTATTCTAAAATTTATGGAAGCGAAATTGCAACCTTTATAATTTAGTAACAAAATAGTACTGATGATAGGAGATTTGACAGTATGAAATTAAGTGTCATTATACAAGATGTCGTAGCATACTTGTATAATGACAACAATTTATAACTACATATAATCCTAATACGATCTTGGAGTTTAATTTCTTCTGTTTTTTTATGGAAATATAATATATGTAGAAGTTGTTTAACAAAAAACGCATCTTGTGTTATGGCGCATTATAAACAAAAATAAAGAAATTACAAAATGGTGGATGTTTAATTTGTTTTTTTAAAGCCGTATTGGCAGAATTAATAATTACAATTTCAGTAGGTATAAAACCTCTTTAATAAATAATCAAGCCTATATTGAGTTACAACGAATGTCAAGTCAAACAGTATGTTGTAATATTATTAAGATACACTGACGCCTCAATTTTTTTAGTTAGAAAACGTTATTAGTCAAATTGTTATAATTAAAGACGCTTTAATGCTGTTGTACATTAAGTAATATGCAAAATTTTATTTCCAGTGCGGCTTCTTCAAACGCAACCGCCCCTCTGACCACACCGAGCGACAGCCGTTAAACGGTCGCGACGAACACCTCTGATATCCGCCTCTCAGCGATACCGCGGATTCCCGCGACACCGCTGACACTCACACCAGCGACACTGACTCTCCGCGATACAGTTCCTCGACGGACGCGGCAAGTGACGTCACAAGTCATGACTCCTCCAGTATTGAACGCTACTGATCATTTTGTCTGCAAGTTCTAAATTTCGCGGCACTAATTAATACTAGTACTGTAGTAACCACGGAATAGATAAATAAGGATGGTCATGTAGGCGCTACAAGTATATAGCTAATTATATTATGTAATGTAATGCAAAAAGATTTTTCATATGAAATTGATGTAAATTTAATAAGTGTGTAAGGGTAACATTCGTAGGTAAGTTTGACTTTAGGTCTTTCCAGTACTATTTTTATTTATCTGTTCTGTGTTATGAGCAATCTTCATAAGGATGAAGATTCAAGTTCCACTAAATAGGTGATACGCGTCTTGCGTCTACAAGGAACGTAACGTAAATGTGTAAAACATTTCTTGTCCATGTTCTATATACTGTGGTGCTAGGTCACGTGTACTACTAGATGGCGCTGAACTTAATTCTCTTGTTTCTAGCAGTAAAATGGTGTACTTTAGACTGTATATGTGCCTTAGACAAGTTTTGTGTGGTAGGAGCAATATAGAGTATATAGCAATTTAGATCTGTATGAATTTTAGTAGTTCAGTGCCTTTTGACACATTGTTATAGATAGGCGAATAGTGCAGTGTTTTTGGTGTAGTGTCGGTAGAAGTTTTTTTATTTTTTAAATGTTTTCAAGATGTAGGAGAAGTGAAAATTATTTATAAATAAAAACGCACACAAGGACACGCGTCCTCATTTGTATAAATTACCGATTTTCGACTAATGTAAATAATTGTGAGGTCTGAATGTTTCTTGGATATTTTTATTTGAAAAATATTTCAAGAATTTATTTTATTGCTAACATAACTAGTCACGAATAGGATCACGTTAATTTAGTTGTAAAACCTTCGTGTTTAGACAAATAACTTTGACATTAATTTATACTAAAATAAACATTTTTTTATCTAAAACTAACCCGGTAAAGAAATTTGTCTAAACTCGGAGTGGAAAATGTGATCTATGTTGTATTGTTAAGGTGTATTTTTGCTTGATGCTTAAACCTCATACTAAAAATAGGCATATCATAAATATGTAGGTGCTGATAAAATTTGGTACAGAATATAAATAATTTAATAACAATATTGCACAGATAACTTTTCGCCAAATTTCTGTTTTAAATTATAGAAAATTTTCGACAATTTTTTATATTTTTTATTTGGAAGTCAGCATTATGAGTAAATAATTTCTATATTAATAGGATCTTCATAAATTAACTCTTCTTTTAGGAGGCAAATTAGCTTGCAATAATTAGTATAAGGTAGATAATTGAAATTTAATATAAAATACAAGTTTGGGTGTGTTCCTTCGGGTCTTTTTCCCTTTTTATTGGGCCTTTAAGAGATATTTATGAAAAAAAATACAGCCTTAAAAGATAAAATGTATGTGCCTTGAAAACATATCCATAATAAAATATAGGATCATGTAAATATTTTTTTATTAGTCTACTGAAGTGGGTGAAAATATAGTTTTTCATACTTTCAGTAATGAAATCACGCTACCGATATAGTCAACACAATCGTGTTGTTTTTTTATATATTTTATAGCAGTTTTAACATTGTGCCTTCTAAAACTGCCAGTTACTAAATAATGTAAATATTAAGTTTTATTTCTTTAAATTTTAACATTTCACGGCCATTTTATTTTAAAGTATAGTACTTAATTATTTTAAGGAATTGACTTTAGGCCACGAATAACCAAAATTATTTTGTTTTAAAATGTTTCTGTGAAATTATCTAAGCGTCATTGTTATTTTATTTCGATTAATAAATATTTATTTTCGTAACTATTAATTCAGCTTTTACTTATAAGACGTATTATTGAAACCCCATACAGCTTTTTCAATTTTTAAAATTTATCTATAAGGTAACGGTACAGACATATTTGACCCAAAAGCACGTTTAAGCTGACTTTAAAGTTGGTGGGTATGTTTGCGTCTATGGTTGCTTTAAGTATAAGAAGAATTGAAAAAGAGGAATGGGGATCCTAAGTGGATGCCATAATGTTTTAATGATAATAAACTTTTGGGTTGTCTGGGTAATTTGCATTTACCAAAAAGAACTGTAATTAAAATTTTGTTTTTTAATCAGTTTGTCTTTTATTAATATCCCAAATAAATATAGAGCAAAGATTTTCTTATTAAAAAAATCTAATAAATTGTAGTGTAAATATAATATAATTATCTAAATAAAATAATCGTTAAAAATGTTGTACTTACTACTGGTAAACGGGGATCACTACGAACATTGTGGACACGCAAGTGAAAATGTAATAAGTTTTAATTAATCCCTACAAACTATTTTTGAAGTAAAACTTCTTTGTCACGAAAATGTGCAACGTTTTTGTCGAAGAAAAGGGAGAGAGCGATTGAGACCGATTGAGTGAGAGTGAGAAAGGGCGAACGTAGCATGAAGCAAATACCCATGGAGCGAGAGTAGGGAGCAAGCAAGTGAGAAAGATCGAGAGAGAGAGTGAGATAGAGCGAACGTCGCATCACGCACAGTGCCATGAAGGGAGAGGGCTATAGTGAGAAAGATTGTGAGAGAGAAAGGGTGTCTTGTCGAGGATGTATTCGTTTAGTAGTTACATATTAGAACTTTAGATGGCAATTCTGTCGCATAACGTCTTGAGCAGTATTTTTATTTTATTTACTTATATTATCATTAGCACGTATACAGTGTGTAAACAGTGTGAATATAGATGTACAAATACATGGAGTGATCATATACTGATACATGATCATCTATTGGGGCTTTTACCTAAAGTTATAATGAATTTACAAAGAAGTTTCACTTCTGACATGACGTGTACTTTGTACGCACGCACTTTTTTTAAACGACATCTATTTTTTGACTTTGATAACAAACATTAAACGACGTATGTTAAATTTTTTTAAATCTTGGGATTAATATGACTAAGTTTAAAAAAGCCTTTCAATTCGAGTCTTAATCTCTTTTCAAAGAAAAACACTTGAAGCTAGTTTAAAGCCCAATCGATATTCTTAAAAACGACCCTAGTCTATCTAAGGTCTCCATGACGTTTCATCGCTCTTTACCCGTAGAGTCTGGAAATCATTAATTCCCAAGTCTTAAAGCTGATCCCCTTAAGACACAAACCTTTGGTTTTGCGTTGATTATATATTTCTTTAAAGATGCCGCGTCTAAAGTTTGTGCTTGTGACACATCAAACATTTTTAGGTTTAGACCCATGCCGTGTGATGGCGAAGCTATAAGAAACATGCTGGGATCCTAATTCTTTTTCGCAATTTTAATTTTGCAAACAATAGGCTTTTCACCTAGACCGAAAAACTGATATAGTGGTTTGCCCAATTATAGAACGAAAGAACAAACAACCTAAGTGTTATAGTAAGAATTGTAAATAAACATTATTTGGTTTATAAATGCGTATAAAATTGGCATTCAGTAACAGCGCTTAGATTAAGAAGACAGATGAGCATTGAAATACCGAAATTCTCAACGATTAAATTTAGGGCTGTACAGTGGGCAAAATAAGTATTGTAGCCAAATTCAATCTATTTCATCGATCTACAAACTAGTGAATAAAATTATCTAGACCTATTATACGTAATAAGTCACGAACATGAAATAACGAACATTATAAATTTCATTACGAAACAAGCCAATCGCCATGAAGTTTGCATTCCAAGAGTTTTTATAACTATTATTTTCTTAAAGGCGCGATATTTCTATATTCTATACTCTGTAGTATGTTTGAAGCATTAAAGCGGCCATTTGTCACACTCATTTACCCCAATTTATTCGACACATGAACTACTATTATTTAACAATACCTTGCATAGAACAATGTGAACACGAAGAGCCTTCAGTAATTGGACAGTGGGCTTTATCACTAACGAGAAGTCTATTCCAGGTTAACCCAGATATATGATCCGTGACTTTCTTTATCTCTAAAAAACGTCCCATTTGCGCCGCATTACAAAAATATGAGTATGATATTATGGAAATTGTCCAGAATTATGTTTTTTGTAAATGATAATAACACAAAGCGTTTTCAATTTTTATGTTGACGCTACTCGATTGCTCTGATTCGTAAATTTCCCGTTGAGGACCCTTTATCAAGTATCTGTTGGACTCGACTGAAATTAAGCGTCTTCAGAACTATATTGTACTCTAACCACAATTTTTAAGTATTATTTTTGCCACCGCAGTTCGTGATGTGTGTCTTTTATTATTATGTTATCGTTATAGTCCCAATCATGAGTCTTGTATCTGAAATATATTTTATGGGATTAAATTGTTGAACTAATTTATATATTTTTTTAATAAAATTCGTATAATTTTGGGCATTAAAATCAAAAGATATTTGCATCAGTAAGACAACATGTAAAAATTGTAAAAGCAACTGTTATCACATAAGTATACGAAGAATAATATATAGGCAATTGATAGTCCATATTAAGTTCAGTATTGGGAGACGTCGCTAAATGGCACTCAAATAAAAACAATGGCACCACAATACTTTGGTAGTTGACACAAATGGTGGCGTTCTAGACACGAATCGGCAATAAATCATGAAAATTCTGATATGCAAGTATTTTCATACACGCACATTGCATATCAGAGAATTATTAAGTAGATATGAATTCACCAAAGCAAAGGTTCAAGATCTAGTTACGAAAACTATTCCTCAAGCCAGTCGTCTATTACCCGTCTGTAAGAGGATTGACTACATTATAGTGTCGTAACCCACATCGGAGCGAACACATTTCTTCGTCTATTTTATTAATCTTTACAGATGAAAGGGACATCATTTATTTATTAAAGTTCACCACATCTTATAAAATGCTATTTCTACAGTAGGTATATGTTACAAGCTATCTTTTCTA